TCCAACTCTCTGACATATAACAAGTGATTGCAAAGACCATAGCCTGTATCAGACGCACCTTAGTCTCCAGAGTGACACCACTGCTCTTCAATACCCTGGAGAGGTCCCTAACAGCAGACTTTCCCATCTCAAAACGTTTTTTGATTTCCTGGCTACTGGTGCCGAGAGTGTTGACTGTGGAGCCAAGCAGACTAAAGCTGTTAACAATCTCAATCTCTTCACCATCCATCCTGATGCTGCCAATTGGTCCAGTGGTGAGAATCTTTGTCTTCTTGACATTGAGCCTCAACCCATATTGGAGGCTGCAGTCCTTGACCCTCTGCAGCAAGTGTTTCAGATCCTCCTCAGTTTCAGCAAGCAGGGTTGTGTCATCTACATAACGCAGATTGTTAATAGATCTTCCACCAATCCTGACACCTCATAGACTACCAGTTGAAAATACACACTATGGTGATTCATCTATTTAAAAAATGGCTCACAAAATAAAATTCAAATTTTTTAATGTAACCCAGCTGGTTCCAATCCACCTTTCCAGCTTCTGCATTTCCCAACTCAGTTCAGGCTACTTAATAGAGTTGTTTCCTGCCTTCATGCCTCTGTTATTGTCTGTCTGCTCTTCGTTTCTGCATCTGACAAATTAATACTCATCTTTTAACATCCAACTTAAATGAGTTTCCACATTGGCAATAACACAATACATCTTTCACAAATGTATACTGTACTTCATCTAAGAAAAGTCACTACTGAACTTAATTATACTCTTTGGGAACAGCTAAAAACACTGAAAGAGAAAATACATTTTTTTTGTCATCTCTAAATGCATGAAGTATCTTTGGTTAGTTCATACTGGAGATCCTAAAAACTCACTACCATCCATCTTAGATTCAATTCTAACATTTAATTCCATAGTTGCTTAGATAGAAATGATCAATTTGTCTTAGCGTTGTTCATAACAAATTGGGCCTAGAGCCATTCTACAGCTAAATATTTATGACAAGTTGGTAAATGGCATTCTTGTTTCAAAACTGTGGCTCAGGTTTATGGCTGAAGATAACTAAGCACTCCTCCTTTGAGCTTCAAGGATACAATAATAGTTGTGGTCAGCTCTTCAGGGATTTCTAAAAGTATCCAAGGTATACAACTAGCCCTAGCATCAATATTATTCCACTTTCCTTCAATCTGAATCTAAAAACGTTAAAGAGAAAATAAGGAGTTCTTGGACCTCAGTATTAATGTAAACTTGAAAAGAAAAAATGAAAAGAGAGACTATTTTTCCTTTTTGTAGGGAAAAATATAAAAAATCTTACCCAATGTTGGAAAGGACGTGGCAAGATAAGAACACTTACACACTGCTGCTGGGATTATAAAATGGTACAATTACGCTGGAAGGCAATTTGGCATTTCAAAAAGCTGAACAAAGAAATCCCATATGATGCAGCTATTCCACTGCTTGAAAAAATAAGAACTGAGGCACAAACACAGACTTGTACACCAATGTTTATAGCAGCATTATTCACCATTACAAGAACATGAAAACAGCCCAATGTCCAACCACAATTGAAAGGATTGAGAAATTAGGGTACATTTACATAATGTCGAACACTATGCAGCACGCAAGAGCAATGATTTTGTAAAACCACTACCTAACTTGGGAGGGCTGGAGAGCATTATGCTAAGTGAACTAATTCAGTCACATAAGGACAAATACTGTATAAGACCATTATTGTAGAACATGTATGATAAAGGGGGGACAGGGGAGTAAAGGGGTAAGGATGGGGGGTAGTTAATACAGGGTCACATAATTTGATGGGTGAAGGAAAGGGCAGGTAAAGGGAATGGGAAATCCAGAGTGAATAAACAATGTATACAAATATTCTAAGTGTTATTAATTGCCTTTGAGTCAAGTACGACTCACTGAGACCCTATGAACAAAAGGCCTGAAGCCCCTCTATAACTACTGACATTTATCAAAGTTGACAGAGTTTCCAGAGGTATGTTGTTTTAGTGTAAAATAAAAATTTTATTTTTTAAAAAAAATCTTACTCAAATCCAGAGGGTGGTAATCAAAGTCTGAGATCATATAAACAGGCTTATATTTCATTCTTTATCTGTTTGAGCGAAAACTTACTGATTTGACCTCTGTTAGTTGCTATACATAGGGTCACTATGGGTTGCAGGTGACTTGATGGCACATGACAATAACAACAACAACTGCAAAGTGAAAAACAGAAACAGGCACAGGACATGGTAGGGAAGCATCAAGTGAAGAGATGGACAAAACTATCCTCTCCCCTTGAACTTTTAGTTCAAGTGGTACGAACCTTTCCTCCAATATGCTTCTGGCCACAAGAGTTGGGAGGAAAAATTGTACTGGGACAGAAAACAAAATCATGTTAGAGTCACATGACACTGTGAATGCTACCAGTTTAATTAAAAAATAAAATCAAAACAAAAAAAAAACCCAAGCAATCAAACTAAATCTAGCAAGGAAATATCAATGACTATGGCAATTGAATGGGACTGAGTTCACTATCAGCAGGGTAGACTAGAGCTACTACTTAAATTCATTTATATAGTTCAATGACCGTGATCCAGAAGAGCAGTATAGAACAGCCAAGAAAGAGAAGTTGACTCCTTAGCACTTGCATATCTCATGGAGAACTCTTGTCTCCCTATTGCTCCTCTGTATCTCAGCATTAGAAAGAGAAAAGAAACAAAAAGGGAGAAACTGCTTAATGGTTACCTATCCACCTACTCTCAAACATCAAGCTCCCAGATAAGGTCTAATCAGCCTTGGGAAGGAACACTACATCAAGCCTGTGATTGAAATTATAATAGGAAGAAGACTGAATTTTCAATACTGATATCAGACTAAAGCATTTGAAAATTATGGAATAGTGACAAAATGTTGTTAAAGAAGTGAGGGACCCAGGAGGAAAAGAGCTTTATGTGACAAGAGTTAAGAAGTAGTTACTAAACAAAAAACCAAAACAGATTTTTTATATACACCAAACAAGGATCTTCAGTGAACTGGTTAATATGTAGGGTGACAGTTCCTACAATTATTTGACTTTCATCCCTCCATTCTTCTTTGTGTATAATCCGTGAAACTTAAGATATACTTTGATACTTAGGCCTAGAACCAGTCCATCTCAACTCATTCATTCCTATTTGCTGTTCTGTCTTGATAACCACTTGGTAGATAACAGTAAGAGCTCTACTCCTATGTCTTGGAAGATGTCATCAAATTCACAGATATTCAAATAAGCATTAATAATGCTGAAAGTTGTAATAAGTACTTCAATATAGTGGAGGAAACAGATAGGAGTAAAGCTCAAAGTAAAAATTTGATCCTTAACAGCTTCAACTTTCAATGATTCAACAAAAGAAGAAATCTACAAAGAGAATGCATTTTCCTAAGGAATGATTCATCATTTTTAAACGGCTTATCTGACAAGGAGGAGAAACCAAGTTTATGGTTTATGGCAAAAAGCGCACTGTTCAGTTGTATGACACAGAAGGAAAAGGAAAGATCTAGAGAAAAAGAGTAAGAGACAAAGAAGTGAAGGCTGGCTAGAAAGTAGAAGCTGAACTGGGGCTGCACATGGAAGATGGACAGGCATGAATGATAGACAAAGCAGAACATTCCTGGATGAATGAGAGACAATAATATAAAGTGACTATGACACATTGCAATTATTGATACATACCGAGACTGAACTGCGGGTAATGCTCATAAATCTAACTGCAATTAGTACAGGTTTCTGGATTAGGAAGGACATGAAAAGGAAAGCAGAAGGTTAGAATGTGCATGTCATTGTTCATTAAAAGAGAAGGGTTAATCTTTGAGCAGATTTATCTTCAGTAGTTATTTGCAAAAAAGCAAAGCTTCTCTATCTGCTTTAAAAGTAAATTAATAATAAACAGCATATGCCCTTCCCTTCTGGAAAGGCCTTGCCAAGCTGGGCCTGTCAGAGCTGAGGTCAGGAAAACCCATACTATGAAAAGTTTCACTTTTATATGAGGTTTTGGGGAAAAGATTCGGATGAGCTTTATAAAATACCTTACTGCCTGAGAAAAGTTAAAATTCGCTTTTAGAAAAAGATTCTTCACTTACTTAATCAACAGACATTTGTAAGCACTTGTTCCATGCTAGGCAGTTTAAACAGTAAAGGAAGAAAAACAGTTAAACTAAATATAAACTATGAAGATATGGAGGAAGGATTGCTGGGATTCTAGAAAAGAATGGGTGTGATGATGGAGAACACTGCTGCTTGTTGGAAACTTACTGAGGAGCTGAGTAGGCAGTCATCATTTTAATTTTATTTTACAACTAAAAGGTAGCAAATAAGAAATAATTAAATTTCACTGTAACAGCATTTCTGTAGTTACCTAGATCCTACTGATGACTGGTCTATGATAATTAGAGATAGCTGTGTATGTCATTGGCTACTAAAGAAAGTACTACACAGAAAAGTGGGCAAGTGGAGGAAAGAAATTATTATTTTCATAAAAGTTTCCTGAAAATCTGTTAAATTAGTCCTTAAAAGGAATCTTTAGTTTGATAACAGGAGACTCATAGATGGAATTCCATATCCATCTATGGAATATGAATCACATTCTTGAAAATGATTATGTTATATACATCACCAAATACTGACATGGCTGAGGTTTGGACAGATGGTGGAAAGAAGCAGAGAAAAAAGTTAGGATAGGTAAGTTGTAATGGAAGGATTGGAAGAAAAAACAGGGCAGATTATTAGACCATTAATGCTTTGTTCAAATACTTGATTTAAAATATTCTGCACATTTATCTGCATATCTATTCCTATAATTAAAAAGACCTGAAAGATAAAACATGAGGGATCCATAGTGCCTTGAGATTTGGTGGTTTCCCCCCTCCCTTGTTACCTATGAAAAAGATCCTGAAAATAATCCCTTCTCTACAACACAAATATACCTAAAACCCCAAGAAGTCTCCCATTTGTCCTGTATCTTACCATTGATCTACGAATCAGGGAGAGCCTGGTCTTTGCCTTATTCTCTGCAAATTCCAAGCTACTGATGTCTTTGAGACGAGCCTTGTATTTATTCATCTGTTCTACAACAATCAGCTCCACGCAGCTGAAATAAGAAATAACAGAGAAAAATGTTAAGAGTCAAAGTAAAACAAATGAAGTGTGGTGGTAAGGTTAGGGAATTGGAGGTGGGGGTGGAGAAGCCAACAATCCTTTCCTTATGCACTCAGGGACAGGTTCTAGCACTGTAGTTTTCAATTTTAAGTTGCACTTTACAACCCATCTATGAAGTCTGTATAAATCCTTATTTCCAGGTCACACAATTAAATTATACTCTGAGGGTGAAAGACAAGCACTTGTATTTTTTTAAATTTCTTTTATAGTCAAATTAAGAACTCCCACTCTAGAAGAAGCAGCCTACAAAAAACCACCAAGGTAAAAATATAGTACACTGAAGCACTTAAAGGAATTAAGAGCCATAGGATCAGATAATACGAAGATATGAAGTGTAGCTAATTTGATAAAACAGAATTAAAAAACACCCCACACTTAGGAACTCCAAGTAAAGAACTATAAGCAAATATTATATTTAAAACAAAATGAAGCAAACAATAACTCCCTCAAACACATTGCCATTGAGTCAGCATCAAGTTATGGCTGATTCTCTGGCAGGTTTCAAGGCTATAAATCCCATGACAGAAAACTGCTCATCTTTCTCCCTGAGAGCTACTGGTGGATTCGCCCCACCAGAGAGGTGCAGCTTTTGTGTTAGCAGTACAACTACCAATGGACTACACCACAAAATCTTTCAAAATAAGTACTATTTCAGTTGAACAGAATGGAAAAAATCCTATTTTTAAAATAAGAAAATCTGTATGACTTGGTGTCAGTAAGGAACGATCTTTTTTTAAAACATCTGAATCTATGAAATCATTCGCTATGTTTGATATTGAGATGAAATGTCAACAATGACTGAGCCCAAAGTCTCTGAGGTCTTCCTGATCCTGACTTACGTGGTAGTCTTACTGATGTCCTGTACACTTTGTAATGGGTCAGTGGTATCAGGACAGCGGAGAATGCAGGGTGCAAATACAATGGCCAAAGCATTTGCAGACATTCGATTAGTGTCTTCTTGCAGAGCAATCCTAAGGAAAAAGGGGAAAAAAAACCAAAAAACCAGAAATCAAATGGAAAAGGGTCAAAGGGCAGATCAGCAGAAAGTAGCAGAATAAATGAGAGAAAGAGGTCATTATAAGTCTCACATGAAATACTTATGTATTTCACAGTGTTGGAAGGAAAACCCTTTCAGTTTAAGGGAGTCACTGGACATTTTTTTCAAACTCTTTTGTCTTTGGAAAAAGTGTTTCACTGTCCCTTTTGTTGGCAGCATGTTTATCAAAGGAAATTTGTGACCTAAGTCTCAAGGACCAGACCAGCATGCCTAAAGAATGTAGAGGCTTTAAGGAATTTTTAGGAAAGAAAATAAAATAGCAGTAAGGATAACTTTCTTTTTGAGTACTTCTAATATTTATACCTCAGAGTAAGAGAAACTACTCCTGAAGACCCTTTGGTTCAACAATTTGAGCACCATCTGAAACTACCACCCATGAATTATGTTATGTCACAACAGAGATAAGATTTTTTTGGTTAATGAGTCAGTTAACAGGCTACTGTCTCATCATGAAGCTCAAGTTGTTACTAAAATTGGGTCATGCGGTCCAACTTAACTGAGGACTTCTATTCCTAATGTTTAAACAATTTCTTGTTTCTTGAAGTTACCTGACCAGATGAAAGATGAGGCGTTCCAGTGTATTGAGATGAGTTCGGGAGAGTTGGTCAATCACAGAGTATACACCACGAATTGTCTCCTTCCTCTCCTGAAGGCCTAAAAAAAGTTAGGGCAGCAAAAAAGACTGAATATTCCTTCTTGAATGTTACATCTTCCTCCTGGGTAGAAGCTAAGTAGCAGAAAAGGCTGGCTCTTGAGTTTGGCACTGAAGCAACTTGGAAGGAAATAAAGAAATAGATTTCTTTTTTGAAAGACGAAGGAGAGATGGAAAAAAAAAAGAGTACAGAAAATCTTGGTTAACATTAGCAGTCTATTAGAAAAGGTTTTGATGAACACTGAGATTTACTCTTTAGAAGGTCTCATTCATCAATTTTATCATTTTCAGATTGTGCATTTCTGTCTATATTTGTGGCAGTCCCTTTATACCATAGATTAAGCTTCTAAGCTTGATCCCAGTTTGTCTCTTACAAACTTTATGGTTTGGGGCTTTACTCCCATGTCTCTGATTCACCTTGAGTTGATTTTTGTGTATGGTGAGAGTTGTGAATCCTGTTTCAGCTTTCTGAAGTTAGCAGTCCAATTTTGCCAGCACCAAATACCCAAACACAATGGAATGGATTGAGAAATTATGGTACATTCACACAATGGAATACTATGCAGCATGCAGGAGCAATAACTTTATAAATTATTACCTATCTTGGGAGGGACTGAAGAGCATTATCCTAACTGTCTTATAAAGACAAATACTGTATGAGACCATTATTTTTGGGATGAGTATGAGGATCCAAGGGGGGAGGGTTGCTTAATCATAAAGTCACACAATTTGTTGGGTAAAGGAAAGGGGAAAGATCGAGTGTGAAAAACAATGTATATGAACTTTGCAAGTAAACCAATATAAAATAAAATAAGTCAGGAATCAACTTGGCCTAACAAATTACTTAAAGGAGCAGTGGACAGTCTATATTGGATGAGTCCAGACACCAGAGAAAGACAGAAAGAACATCTGGAACTAAGAAAGACAAAGAGGATAGGTAACACTGAAGACAGAAGTGGCAATTCCATGAATCTGAAGAACACATAACTATATGCAGTAATTTCTTAAAGCAATCTGTCCTTGAAGAAAATATTCAAGATATTGATCATTAATGTAGCAGCTAACAAATGCAGAATACAAAGCAACCTATAAACTTATGTATTACAAAATTTAATTCTTTTGGAAATAAATAGTAATGCTGTAACAAAACATTTGGAAAAATAGATAGTAGTCCCTTGTAGACTCTAAAGAAAGTTGGAAGCTAACTGTCAGCTTACCTGCCCCACTGTTTCAAAGAGAGACAGCTGTATTTGAATGGCAGAGGAAGAACAACTCAGTTTTCATTCAACTCCGTTTGCTCAATCTTTATATTCACTAACCAGTCTCGTAAATTCTAACCTATCTCCCAGAAATCTTGATTACAAAAATAGGATAATAATGGCCTAATTTTTCAGCCATTTTAGAGATCTATTCCTCATTAAAATCCATAAATTCTCATTAAAATGAATAAACTTTTATAAATTTTATAAAAACTAGTTTCCAGGGAATCTGAAGATGTAAGCCTCAGGCTTTAAACGTCTCTAAGCAGAATTTCATCAATATGCTTTACATTTTGTAGCACTCAGATATATGGTGTCAGAAACCTTGAAAACTGGCTTTACTATCCATTGTGTTAGCCCCATTAGGGGTATAGTCTCCAGCTACCTTAACTGTGGACACCTGGTCTTGCATCATCAACTGCTGTGGGATCAATATAAGAGTGCTTTCCACACTGTAAAAAAAAAACAGTGATCAGCTATTGTGAAAGGTATTGTTTCTCTTAGTTCTGTCTCTGTATTCTTTTTGTCGCTATAGAGAAATCCAACTGATTTTTGTCTGTTGATCTTGTATCCTGCTACTTTGCTGAATTGGTCAACTACGTCCAATAGTTTTCTTGCTGAGTCTTT